GAATCTTCACCAAAGACCAATCAACTGAGTACTAATAACTGAAGAAGATGAAACTAAAAACAACTTTTCCAAATTTCCATTTGAGGAAAACTGACTACTGGTCTGCTGCTTTATAGCTCTGATGAAACTATAATTTCAAAAAGATATATAAATCTTCTGCTTTCCCTGATAAAATTTACTGCACTTCATAAACTGTTTAATCACGAACTTACTAGTGCTTGTGATTAATGACTGGGGGGAAGAAAAAAGGTCATATTTTATCTAAATAATAAATTGCTTCTCTGAAGCATTGAGAACCATAACTAAGCTAACTCTGTAGCAGAAGAGAAATGGCTTCTTTCCAGCTTTTACTGTAATAATTGAGCTTTTAAATACTAAATAAAACTCTTTTTCTACTTTGTTAAAACCTCCAGCTTCAAGGAAAAGCTCTAACATGAGATGCTATCAAATACATTAGCAAAGTCTGATATGATAGGGAAAAATAAATAAATAAATAAATAAACACACACACACAAAACAAACAAGCAAAACATAACAAAAAACATTTTAATCAACATTTTTGGGGGCTTTTTTTCCCTTCCTTAGATAGAAGTAGACTGCCAGAATTAGCAACTTAAAAAAAAAAAAAAGAGTGCATCTTTCTATAAGAGATAGTGTTACGACGTTGGATTCTCTTTATCTAGGTTTATCTCCAGCACATTTTGGAGTATGAGAACAGTGTCAAAAAGTAAGATAGCTGACTGAAGTAGAAGTATCACTTGGGTAAGTAACCATCTCCCACTGTTGATGCATTTATATGAGGATTGCACCAGTTATGTGGGGACGGAGCACCAGTACTTCAGATGAGTGCAGTTTCAGTTCATTGAGCTAGAGAAGGTTAAACTGTCCTCCTTGAATTATGTGACAGCTGAGTAGAGGTAACCTTAAAAATAAAGTAAGATGCTTTAGTAGAGTGGTTGGAGTATTTAAATAAACTATCAACTAAAATGAGAAGAAACCAGTTAAGTTTAAAAATATTTTTGCATTTAGCAGGGCTCCAATAGATATTATAGTTGTTTTCTATCTATATAATGTGTCTGAATTAATTATTTTTAATTGAGAGAGCATGTTCCAGTAATGATGTATACAATATTTTCAAAAGGAGGCAGTTTATTGTTCACACTGCCTTGAAAACTCATATAAAAAGGCAGCATGTATTCTTCACAGCATTACCTGAATCTAAGTAAACTACTTCCTGTCCTGTGTTTTAACCCATCCAGCAGTTCAGCATCACAGAGCTGCTTGCAAGGTTCCAGCACAGGTGAAAAAAAAAGCTTCTGACATGACAAGGACCTCTGAGATATCTCAAATCAGTAGTGATTGCAAGATAAGATTGAGAAGAGACACAAAATTATCATAGTTTGAGATTATGTGGTCTAGTGATAGGGGCTTTATCAAGACTCATTCTTCCACTGAGCTAGTCCTTGTCTGGTGCTCCAGATAGGTTTCACAACTGCACATCTGTTTCTCTTGGTCTGTGGGAACTCCTTTTGAATATACATTTCAGTGAACAAGTTGTTGACAAAGTTCTCTCATGTGACGAGTCACATTTTAGGCAGCAACACACAGTTACTAAAGAAATTCTGCCCATAAGCACTCATAAGAGGCACCAAAACATAGTGGTGATGTCTTTTTTCTTTGGGAGCAGAGAGAGGGGAAAGACAGATAGAGGAAAAAAATAAAATAATGCATACTAAGGGAGATGTGCTTTTACAGGTAATCAGGACCTTTTCAGAACTTTCATATGCCTACAGACGACAGGAATAATTAAAAAGAAGTAGGCTTATATTTTCCTTCTGTCTTATGTTCTATTTCTTTGATTCACACATTACTTTCATCAGAAGAGGTTACCAGCAAGAGCTGCCATAAGTTGCTGTAATTTTGGCAGGCTGACAGTCAATTTTGCCACCTCTTCCAACCCACACATACATTACGGCATGATGATAGTATCACACTATGGGCTAAGCCAGGATCCAGCGAACATTCCAGAAGATAAGTTTTTAGGATATGGCTCCTACCTTAACTGAGTAATTTTATATAGAGAAATGTGAAAAGAAACAGGAAATAGCAGTGCCCTGTCTTTTCCAGCCTATTGCTGAAGAAGTATTCCCATCTGTTTTTCTTGTAAACTGATCAAATTCTGTTAATTGGATTCAACATATGAAAGTGAGTTGTATAGGAAAAAGTAGAATCTTCTTGAAGGCAAAAACAAACAAGATTATTGTATATTTTCAGACTACTCCATACCTCATTGTGGCCTTCCAGTACTTGAAGGGAGCATATAAACAGGAGGGGGAATGGCTGTTCACGTGGGTAGATAGTGATAGGACAAGGGGGAATGGTCTTAAACTGAGACAGGAAAGATTTAGATTACTTATTAGGACGAAGTTTTTCACACAGAGGGTGGTGACACACTGGAACATGTTGCCCAAGGAGGTTGTGGATGCCCCATCCCTGGAGGCATTCAAGGCCAGCCTGGATGTGGCTCTGAGCAGCCTGGTCTGGTAGTTGGGACCCTGCACATAGCAGGGGGGTTGAAACTAAATGATCATTGTGGTGCTTTTCAACCCAGGCCATTCTATGATTCTATGATAAGACCCATTACTGTCTCAAACTTGGGCTCTAGATATTGATTCTGATACTTTTGTATCATTATATATACACAACATAAGAAAAACCTTATGAATCCATGTAAGAATAGCTGTATCAAAACAGGGAAAAGTCATCTTTTAAGTAACCTATAGCCTGACATACACAGTTCCAGAATCTTCTCAAGCACCTATCTTTGTTATTTCTTAAGTTGCCTTTCTGAATGCTGCCAATATTAATGCATATTTCATCATGACTGTGGTAATAATTTTAGAGCGACATTTCCACTACAAGCATAAATTCATTCTCTTTGTAAAGGCATGGTTTGTTAAAAGATGATAGGAGTTTTAAAAGCAAGAAAATAAGTTGATATAAAAAATCTGAGCTCCAGAATATTTTTTGTAAGTATGTGTAAATATACATTAAAAAGTCCTACTGAAGTTCTCAAAATTACAGAAGACATAAATTAGTGCTTCGATTCTTGTTAATCCACAAAAACAGGGAAAAAACTGTCAAACCTTACACTACTCAGAGGAAAAGTTACGATAAATGCAAGGTGAGGTTTCTGACTACTACAGAACTAAGAAAGATGTATTACTGTCAAGATTCTTGAATCCTAAAATGAACCTGAAGACAGATACCTATGGAAAACATCTGCATGTTACATTTTGCATTGTGGAAAGGTCTGAATGGAAGTGAAACAAAGGTTCTGATGTTTGTAATATGCTATACCTAATTTAATACACAAATAAAAAACTTCATATGATGGCTATTGATCTATACATTCACACAAACAGAGCAACCGAAACTGCCTGTTGAGGAAGCAAAGCCATCCTTGGGATTCAATCTAAGTCCATTAAATATACTGATAGTTAAGTCTAGGCTCACAGGACTCATGCGTTTTATGATGAGTGTCAGGCAGGGGGAAGAAGTCATGCAACCTTTTGTATATGCTTATGTTTTAAGAAGTACTGCTCTACTTAAAACAGTATCAGATGGAAAAAGTTCATGCCAGCTGTTTTGGGAGTGATTACATTTCAAGTGGATATGCAGCATTTAAATGACCTAAGTTTCTAAGACACCTGCTATGTTTCATGAAGAATAATCTCTTGCATAAAGTTTAAATATAAAATCCAGTCTGTGAATGCCTTGCTTCAAATTTACTTTTTGATTTAAAAAAAATCCTTGGAAGAATAATGTTACCCGAAGTTCGGAAAGTCTATACATATACAATTTTTTAAATAGGAAAGAAAAGGAAGTGGGCACACCATTAATAAAAATGGTTATATACACGACCTGTATGGAGAAAAAACTTGAGGCAGATTTGAAATCTCTGAATCCCCTAAGGTATGTCATAAATATAGCATATAGTAAGAAGTGGTCAAAGGCCACGTAGCTAAGCCAACCAGATACATGCTGTCTGGTTTGCTGCTGCACTCTTAATCTTCTTACTTAACAGAGCATTATGATATTCAATTAAGTGAATTGCTTTTAGCACATTCAGAGTCTGATAAAAATAACTAAATACCCATACTACATGAGAGAGAAATGAAATAAAGGCAGATTAATCGCTTTACTAGGGTCAGGAGGTGAACATGCACCTCCACTGGTATCAAAATATTATATTTGCTATGGTCTGCCTATTGCATCACATTAAGGAGTTGCAAACATCTATTTCATTAGTCACAGATTAACTCAATAACACATTCATTAACTATGGATGTCAACAGTTATTAACAGGTTCCCGAGGGCACTATCCTTTTAATTGCTACATTCCTTTTGCATGTCTTTTTATTACAAATTAAAACCAGCAAATACATTATTATTTTTTTTTTTTTTCCCAAAGGAAAAAGAAAAAAAAAATTGTAGCTTGGTCATTTTTTAAAATGAGAAATATGCATAATTTTGCAGAATTTCTTAAGAAATACATATTCTCCACTAATACATATTACTTTCACTATATTATGTTTTATGTACATCTTTATCACAGTTCAAGGAACATTTTCAATAATCAAGGAATAAATTTACTTATTCTAAAAATATATAATGAAAAATTATATGTTCATAATGAGAATATTGTTCTCAAAAAGGCTCAGTCTACAAATACACAATGATTAAAGTTTCCCACATAAGCCAATTTAATCCCCTAAAATTGCACATAAACATAACATAAATAACATAAAAGATAAATATAAGTGGTGAGCAAAAGCCATGGCTAGAACAGACTGTAAAAGGAATTTCATTAAGGCATTAATCAGAGCTAACCTGATTAAGAATTTAATTGGCTTGATTACTGACAGCAAGAGAGCATATGTTACTACCTACTCGCAGTAAAAGACTTATAGAGGCTTCAGGACAGCTGAATGGGCAAGATGTTTAAAAGACTAAAAGGAGTGTTTTCCAGAACAAAATTATCACCTGAGCAATCAGACAGTGAAAATGAAGGCATTCCTCCACCATCCAAGCCGTCTACAGACCAGGTATAGTGTATTGTTTATAGACTCAATAATATAACCTTTTGGTTGGGGAGTATTTATATTTAAACAGATTTACTTAAGAGCATATTGATCTTTCTTCATAAAGAAGAGGTGGGAAAGAAGAGAGGAATAAAGGCATTTCTTTGGTTTTGCAAAATAATGCCTTTATTCCTCTCTTCTTTCCCACCTCTTCTTTATGAAGAAAGACTTCCTCCTTTAGCAAATTACTTGTCAAATAGAATTATCCTAACATTGCAAACAGGCAATGAGAAGCATTATTATGATCACTTCTGTTGTGCTGATGTATTTCTCTTCACTTTGTTCCCTGCAAGCAGAAAATGTCAGTATATGTATTCTGAATAGTGGAGTGGCATACAAGTGTACATCAACCTGCTTTTCAACTGTTTTGTGAAAGATAAAGTAATTTACTAACCTTCTTTAAAATATATATTTCATTTGGCTTGCCTTTACTAATATAATTCAATTTCAAAAATACAGCAAGCCATTTTAGCCTACATTATTTTAGCAGTTCTTTGCTATAAAAATTGACTCATTCTTTTCATATCAATTAATGGAATATTTTTAAAAAAGCAGAATACTCTTCCTTTTTTTTACCTTTGGAATATTTTATATCTGTAAGTCTTCTACCAATAATGTCAGTAAGTGTTTTGAGTGTTTGTTTTTTTTCTTTTGTTTATTTCTCTTATCTCGACATAATTACAACTTCACAAGCAAAATGATAACAATTTAGGATTAAACCAAATAGTTAGGACTGTGAAACTGGTTATTTAGTATCAGTCTAAGCTATTAATCTGAATTCAGAATTGATAAAACAATTTAAAAAAAAAGTCATTAGAAGGCTAAATATAATTAAGTGCCTTTTTAACATGTTTGCTGTAGTCTAGCATATACAACAGCTGATTTAAATTCTGTGAGTATAAATTTACATATACATAAGTTCCAAAAATTTTACCTTATCAAAAGAAACATTGATAAATGATAATTTGAATAATTTCTTAGAACTTGCATTCTTCTGAAGCTAATAGTTTTGTACAGCCTCAACAAGAGATGCAGTTTAATCCAATTGCTACTCAAATTTCATTTCTGATTGTTATAAACATAGAAAAAACAATTTTTTGAGCAGGCAAGTCCATATTCCCATCAACTCAAAATGGCATCATTGTATTACAGAATGGTTTGGGTTGGAAGTGGTCTTAAGGATCATCTACTTTCAAATCCCATTCCATTAGATCAGGCTGCCTAGAGCCCCATCCAACCTTGTCTTGAACATGTCTATGGATGGGATATCCACAGCTTCTCTGGGCAGTCTGTGCAACTGCCTTACCACTCTCAACAGGAAGACTTCTTTCTTAATGTCTAATCTAAATTTATCCTTGTTTAGTTCAAAGACATTCATCATCATTTTCCATTCTTCAGTCACAAAAGACTTTCTCAGCCATGAATATAGAGCAAACCAGTTTTTAGAAGCTGTGTAAAGTATTAGCAGTTCACAGGAAACTAAAGAAAATAGTCTTATGAAAAGAAGCTGTGAAATGATGAACTCTGGTAAGTAAAAATCCAATGAAGACTTTAAAGCACAGGGGAAACACAGAAGTGTTGAAAATCACCAGAATTAGATGAATAATTTCTATTATTTTATAATTTCAGTGAAAAATTCTTTTGTTACATTTGTTTATCATGGTCTAATTATTTAGGAATATATTAATGAGCACAACACTTAGTGGAGGGACCAAAGCATCAGGAAAACTGATACAGAACTGCACTAAATTAAGAAAAAGTTTCTGATGGAAAATGATATAGTCCTAATACTTCTAAAGCATTTCACTTTAAAATTTCTAAGAGCTGCAGGGAAAATTGCAAAGGTAACAATGGTTCAGCTACAAAGGTCCTGGAAAGCAAAAGTTCTCACTTATGAGGAAAAAAAAAAAAAAAAAAAAAAACAAACCACAATTGTGTGCAATTCTGGAAGGTTATTCCACATTCTGCTTCCTTACAATGCATCATATGGCATTACTCACAAAAAGAAAAAGTGATTGAATAGCTTTTGGGCCACTATGAGTATTGCTCTTCACGTCAACTGCTTTTGTGTCAATAAAACATTTTCTTGAAAGAAGAAAAATCCTGAATTTGAACAGCTGAACCCTGTTGTAGGAAAGAAATATGTATCCAGACTTCCCTGGAGACATGGATTACTCTTTTCACCAGAACGATTCCATACGTCAGTGCAACACCCAAATAGTACTATTAAAATGATACTGCTAAAATAGAGGTAGACAAATGAATGAGTTAAAGATTAGCACATTTCTGTTTGTGAAAATATATCCTCTAAAGAGAAAAAGAGACAGGTACATAACATCTGGTAACTGTAGAGCATTACACTCACATTGATATTTTAATTTTTGCAGATAAATATATTGTTTTGGGAAGAGAAGAGAAAGAAGTGCAGGAAGCCCTGAAATCCCCTGAATTCAAATAATTTTCCATGCTCTTACAGTAGCCAGTATCTTTACTGTTACTATTACTAACTAGCATGATGAACAACAGGCAAACACATTTGGTCTGGGATAGTAAATGCTCATGAGATTGATTAGTACTGTGCTATGACATAGTACCGTGAGCGTACAAAAATCCCTGTGCACTTCTCATTCCCACCTCTCAGACCAATGTCAACACTAATTAAAAGCAAGGTATATGGCATATATTAATTTAAGGATGCAAACTAACTTGTGAGTGGCAGTACTGAACAAGCTAGCTTTGACAACATTAAAGAGGCTCTGGGACCAGCAGCAGAATTCCAGACTGCATAACTGAGGATGTGCAGCACATGTGAAGACATCAGTTTTTGGTTTTAGCATCCAAGTCCTTTTGTGAACCTAGCTGGAAATTCTGATCCAAGAACACACATAGCACTCAGGAAAACAGCTCAGTAGGTGTTAAACTTGGTTAGCCAAATTGCTAGCAAATGCTTTAAACTCCAAATCATGCTTATCATTCTCAGCAATGACCATCTATTTTCTACTTCTGTTTATTTTCTTAAGAGTGAAAATACAAAAAAAGACGACGCACAGAAAACTGAGGCCAATAAGAAGGCAGAGCCTTCACCAAAGGAACAAGGTCAGTAAAATGTTCATGAGTTCTCCAAGATTATCTGGAAAAAAATATATGTATACTGTATACAACTGTAAAAAAAATTTTTTCCCCTGAAAAGTGCTGAGGAGCTGGCCTTGTTTTTAATTTCTGGGGAAAATTAAGAACTCTGAATTCTCACAGACTTCTAGCCAGTGACTTGCTGCAGGAGTACTATTCAACTATCATAAAAAGGCAACAAACTTTTCAAGCTTTTCACAAACTCCATTGGCTTGTCCACTTTTATCAGTCAATCTAACAAAACCTATTTTCTATTACTGTAAGCCTGATTTCTTCTTAGGAATTCTTAAAATAAAGTCATTTACTGGATTAAGTAAGAAAACTCCATATTTCAACGCATCATCATACATGTAAAAAAAATAAAAAATAGAAAAACATTAGCCAACACGATATTCAAATCTACTGAGGAACATGAACAGCTGGTTGCTGGGAGCTATGACAGGTGGCTATAGCTATTCTGCTCCTTCATATACCTATTTATTTATTTATTTTAATAGGCACACCTTATATCAGAGTACCATAGCTCTGAAAGAAAAAGTAAAAAATAAAATAAAATGAACACACAGAATGAATACTGCACAGCTACCAAAATTAAGTGTAAGGATGAGTAAAGCAATAACCATTCATTGCACACACCCCCCACGTCTGCAGCTCCTTTTTCCATTCTCCAGTAGCAGAGGAAAGCACAGAATCTATGTTTTTTTACTAGTTCATCCTTTTTCTTTCTGAGGACAATTCAGGTCCTCTTTCTTTCCATAAGTTATCTTTCTAAGCGAAGAGCGCTTCAAAAAGATCGCAGGATAACTTGTATGAACACTTCTTGCACTTTGTATAATTGTAGCTGGTGTCACAATCCCTTTCCTCATATCATGAAACTTTAAACAAAATACATTGAATGAGAAATATGAGAAGTGATGGCACAGAAACAACTGCTTCACTAATTTACGTAGGACAGTGTAGCAGCAGTGCAGATACTTGTCTCCATGTTTTTAAAATCCACAGTTCTCTGGAAGTTTAAAAGTCCTATTTTCAAACAACCAGAGGATAGCTTCTCTTTTGCATACGGGTATTAACAAGTTAGATAGACAGTGGATGTACAGTCCAAAGCACTTACACAGGCACCACACTGCATAAGGAACTCTGTCTCAGGGAAGAAAAGTGAGGCAGTTCATGCCAAGGCTGCTGCAATAAATAAAGTCTCCTGCAATACTTAGTAATCTTTGTAACAAGTCTAAAATCCCATAGTCAGCTGCTAAAAAAGAAAATAAATAATATCTGTGGACAAGCAAATGACAAGAGACTAGACACAGCACTTTGTGATGTATGTATGTATTTGGACAGAATTTTCAAAAGTACAGCCACAGCTCAGCCAAAACTATTTAAAAGACACCAGTTAAGGTGTGGAATTAAAACTAGACAGAGAAAAGGTTTTATGAGATCTCTAAGTAGTTTCTCTGGTTTAATCAGCATGAAGCAGATCAGTAAAACCTCTAATCACAAGCTCTTTGTGCAGCTCCACCATTCTGAAATACAAACCAACATCCTGAGGAGAGCTCATCTTCACCCCCTTCTTTTCACATGCCCAAAAGCAGCCACCACCTTCTCCCTTCCTCCAAGCACTTCAAAACATAGTGTGATGTCCCCTGCACTCAGGAGGCATAAGTGGTTGAAACTTGGCCATTTACATTCTCAGCAGAATATCTTACTTTTGGCTTCATTGCTGGCTGCTCATTGCCTCCTCTTCAGTTGCCTGTTCTCACTAATTGCTTTGTGATAGCTCCTGCATAATTAGCTCATTCTGTAACTCACTGTGCTAAGTGGATTTATTTCATAATGGATTCATTTTTTAATTTTTCCTTGTATTACTTTATGTACTCAACAAAATATTATTCAAAAACTTAGAGATTATCTATGATATTGAATCCAAGCACTATAATTTTTTTCATACTTATCACCTTCCATAACTGACTGGCTATACAAATGCTTCACCTGTTTTACACACTGTTTTTCAATATCTCTGCTGATGGTTACACTATTTAGAATGTCATGTACAGTCTCCACCTGCTAGCATGTCTGTTTTATCATCCTCCATAGTCCTGATAACAGCTATATGATTCTTCCCAATCCGTTCTTTTTCTTTCCCTATCTCTAAGCTCTTCTTATCATCACACATAAAGCTCTTCTAGAGTCTGTTCTCCTTTAATTTACCTTTTCACTTTTCCCACTGTAGAAACTATTTTACTCAATTCTAATTCTCTGTCTTTCAGCCTCCCTATCTCTACTAAAATAGCAGGTCTCTCAAAGATTTTTTCCAGATTCATAGCCATATTTACGAAGTTTTCACTAAAGCCCAAGTCATCATACCCTTATTCTTGACAGAGTCTGTGTGAGAAAGCCAGTCTAAAGCTATCATAGATATTTCTATATATGACTTAATTGTGCATCTGGTTCAGAAAATAGACATAATTCTATGATAAATGTTTGGCTAAACAAATAAAAACAGCAGAAGATGCTGATAGCTGCCACTTTTTGTATGTTAGCCTAGATGTTTTGGAGACTCTTTCCTAATAAAGCAGTTCAAAATTAAATTTCTCATATTCCAGTACCCTAAATTCCCACATAAATCTGGACTAGAGGGATGGGGATAGAAATTTAATAACCTTCCTAATCGTTGGGCCACAGTGCAGAAATGAACTCAAAACCTGTGAAGACAGAGAAGTCACTACAACACAGAGGCTGGATCTAACCTAGGAGTTACTTGAAATACTCACCTAACATTGTAGGAGGGAAGAACTGTGATTTCAGGAAATATTTACATCAAAACATTTTTCAGGAGCTAAAATCTATTCTTGGCCTGGTATGAATTATGGCTCTTAAGCTATTTTATAAAACCCAGACCCTAGAACATCAAAATCCAGGGTATTTCAAAAAACAAAGATTAAATACATTTTGACATAACACACTGCAGCACAATAAGCCAAACCTGCCAATGTAAATGCTTCTATGGAATAATCTTATTCCTTGTCTTCTGATCCTTTATACTCTTCACTGGCACACAATCAACCGACAACTATTATTCTGATAGAATGTATTTTTTCAAGATTATCCAGAACTTGAATATGTTTAATCAGCTTGCTTCCATTCCTGCTGATGTGAAACTTTTTAATTCCTTTCAGATATCCATTTTTCATGTGAATGACAGGGCTAAAAGCTGGGAAAACAAACTCAGCTTCTTTAAATGATCTTTCTTTTTGCTGTTAGTAACATGCAAAATAAGCTTTTAGAATATTATAATTAGCCATTGAAGATGAGATTTGTATTAGAAGTTACTGAAAAACTTCTTACTGTTTTGCTTCAAGACCACCAGTTTCTGAACCATTTTATCTTGCACAGAGCGTTCGTTCCAAAAGTTCTGCTTGGAAAATTACATATATTTTGTAATGCCAGTAATGAATTTTATCTCTTTCTTCCATAGGTTTCCCTTCTATTTAAGTTTCTAGGCATTTTGATTACCCTACAGCTACATTTTTCAAGTATTCATGGACGTAGATCCACTTCTGAGAGCCAGGGACAATCAGGCAAATTACTATGAAAAAATTAACCCAGGAATTTTGTAGATCAGTTCTCCCATTTCCCACTCTACTACTTCAAATACAAAGCCATTCTTTATGCCTGCTATTTAAGAAAATCTTCTCTATATATGGTAACATTTAAAAGCATTTCTGAGACTTTTAACTATTAGTAATGTTTTCAAAAAATGAAAGGACAAAAATTACTGATTTTAACTGCCCAGAACTTTGTTTCTAAGGAATATGTCACAAAGATAGTAAAAAAGCAGACTGCTCTACCATTATCCATGAGGTTAGAGGCTCCTGTTAGCCTCTAGCCATGTCTTTATGCAATGTTTCAAACAATGACTAACTTCAACTATTTCCATGTGTTATTAAAACTGCCAATATTGTTCCTTGTCTGTTAAGTAAAGTAGTCTTATCACATGAATACAGATACCAAATCATGTAAGGTTTTCAAGCAGACATTAAATTCAAAGATCAAAGATAAAAGAATTTCAGGACTTTTCTTTTAGTGACAATGTCAAAGATTCTTTAAACAAAAAATGACAACATTAAGACTCATAATAAGCATCAGAAATATGCACTAATGTTGTGAGTGTATTACATATATAGCATGACAGCTAAGCCTATAGCATGTAGTGTGTTGTAAACATCAATATATTTTAAAATATCCATATATTTGTTAAAATCACTAAAATTTATTCATAGAAGATTCTAAATGACAATGTATTTAATTAATACAAAGTTGCCTTCTTTCCCATCCTTCAGCCTCCTGCTGCTGTTTGCATGGGAAGAGTGGGTCTCAAATAGAAGTAAATAGCGTACTTGTTCAGGCAATCTGCTCAGCTCCTCTGTCCCCATATTAGTCTGAGGAAGGAATTTTCCCAGCAAGCCTGGAGAGTTTGTAAATTCCCTTTGTAGGTCTACGCCCTTTGAAGAACTACAAGAGTAGGGCTGAGAACTAGACAAAATGACGAATTAGCATACAGTGATTGACTATGTACTTCTGAATGCTAAATGTTTACTGTTTAAGGAAATAATCTACTGTTTGAAGGACTGTTATAACCCTCATGACCACAAGCTGACATATATCCATGGGTTTTAGAGTCTTTTGTTCTCATTGTTATTGTCCGAAGAGAAGTCTGCAACTCTTCCAAGGGGCTCGGCTCATAACAGAGATTTTTGATTGCACAAATACTTAAGTATGCTCAAGACTAAACGATCTAGAAGAGCCAAAAATGATTATAGTGAGAGTGATGTGTCCTGGCACTGGCAAATCTCCCTGTGCCCCTGTGGAAAAAGACGTGTGTGAGTTTGGAAGTAAATATCAAATTAATTTGGAAAAACTGTAAAGACGCACTATCCAAAGCAGTGATGTGAAAATGTGAATGTAAAAACTGCTTTGTAAAAGCAAGAACAAGGGAGCTGTGCAACCTGGTCTAGTGGTAGGCAACCCTGCCCATGGCAGGGGGTTGGAACTAAATGACTGTTATGGTCCCTTCCAACCTAAGCCATTCTGTGATTCTATGACATCAATGGGCTTCATGCCTGCCCTCCTTAATTCTCATCACAGTGGCAGCTTTAGCTACCTGTATTCCACTGTTACAGGAAATAAATAAAATAAAATCAACCCCCTTTCCAAATTAGGCCTGGATCCATCTGTTTTGAAAACTTCTTTAGATTTTTGCACCTTGGCATAATTCTGCCTTCTTTTGCATTCTCATTACTTCTTTACCATGTTCAAAGTTATGGAAAGCCAATAGAAGGTTTATTGGCTGTTCCACAAGCCTTAACATCTATTTGATGGATTGTCATCTATTTTAGAAAGCAACTCTTGTGCTCTGAATGTTCTCTAAAATGACTAACACATTGTTCCTTAAAGGCATTCCCTTGGAACTGGTTAGAAGTCAGAGGGGTATGATTTAGATTCTCTAAGCATTGAAGAGTATCTAGGGTATTTTAAATGTGACTACACAGACAACACTCCCACCTTCACACAGAAAGAAGCAACTAAAACTTGACATACAGCTGGCAGTGATGCCAGGCCCTGATATACTAATCCTAATGCAAATAAGCTTTGTGCTTGTACTGGAAATTTATGAACTCTAAAAATTTGTGGAAGTTTGGAATATTCATCTATTACAATGCTTTATATCAGTCCAAGTGCAGATAGCATTTAATGATCTGCGTAGGCTGAGACCTCAGACTGAGTATCTTCAGAGTATTTAGCAGGCTGAGAAGCCATTATCTTTCTGAACTGGGATGCTTGTACACAAGAATCTTACATTTTGTTCCTTGGTGGTCTTCCTGTACAGCATAAGTGTTGCAATGCAGACAGATTGTTTCATCCAAGAGCCTATTATTCTGTGTAGTGTGTCTACACCAGTACTATTTTTCAAAAGAATGCCCTTCTGAAGTCAATCATCTCTTTCTTGTTCCCCAGTACACTTTAGTTTTTCACCAAAAAGAATTCTAGGACTGTGTGACTGGTTTCCTTTAGAGTAAAGGGTGGCAAGGTCCTGGTAGAGACTGCTCAGAGAGGTTGTGGACGCCCCACCCCTGGTGGCATTCAAGGCCAGGTTGGACGGGGCCCTGGGCAGCCTGAGCTGATTAGGAGCATCCCTGGCCACGGCAGGTGGTTGGAAGTGGATGATGTCTAAGATCTCTTCCAACTCAAGCTATTCTGTGATTCTGTGATGAAAATAAACCAGAAGAAGCACTTCACGAGTATACCTATTTAACTTGAGCTGCTGATAGTCACTCAGTTCTGAGGATCACAGTAGACCCAATGTGACATACAACTTCAAACATACTGTGGATGCCAGGTCTTCAGCATCATTACAGTGTATTAGTTGTTCCTATTCTTGTCTAATATAGGTGTATTCAGAGGCAGGTGCTATGATAAAGAAAATTCGCAAGGAGACAGAGGAATGCTGAGATTAGTCTTCCTGTCACTTATGAATTCATGGGCTTTTTTCTTTTTTCAAAAAACCGGGAAACTAAAATTGCTAAATTTCAGAAGGGAGCAGAAACAGTGGATAGAGAGGAAAATTTTTGCTTTTTCCTCTCATTTTCTACATCACGTTATGTTGACCACAAAACCACAGGAGGCTTATGTGCCAAGGAAAGCACAGAGCCAATAGTATCATTTGTAGACATCCTCTGGGATCAACAGAATTTTAACAGGTTAAGAAGAATTTAATAGGTTCCTTTCTGAATCAGTAACAAGAGACACAAATTAAACGGTTAAAAATACATCACAAAATGCCTCTATTTTCTGAAACTAGGACTATTCCTAGGTTTTCTTATGGAGGATGTCAGTGAAATTCCTTGGAGAAATACACTATTTCATTATGAAAATATATTCACTGCATTAGAAGCCTGAATCCATTTTAAAATACTTCTCTTGGCGTACATTTATATATATCTTAAAAGTCTTTTTTTACTAGAACTCAAAGAGAAATATTTGAACTGTGTAATTAAATGGCAGAGGATTCCTCTATCCCATCTTGAACCTTCCCAGTGACAGTAACAGCAGCAGCCCTCTGCTGGACTTACCTCCCTGTACATGCTCTATTTTTTCCTCAATAATCCCCAGGTGGACCCTTCAGGCAAGAGAAAATATTCGGCAGCATAGATTTCCAATAGAATTTTCCTCAAGATGGTACTGTGATACTAACTGCTGCAGATAATCTTCATTTCTATTAGATGGGGATGATATCATTATCAATTCAAGCTATAAATCCCATTGAATGTCAGAGCTTTAAATGGAATTCCCCTCAAAAATCTTCCCAGCTTACTGCTGATAAGTAAGACAAATCCTGCAGGTTGTTTCTTCATACTTCATATTGCTACATTTCTCCCAAAGACTATTAGAAAATTAACCCCTAAACTTGCTAAGGCAAAAACAACCAGCATGTAAGGGAACGTGGCTTTCTTTGCCTTCCCTCCAGTTCTCTGTCTGACTCTGGCTTGAGTATTTCTTGCATTTTCTTACTGCACGCTGGATCTTTGATCCTGGTTGAAACACTAATTCCTTTAAGAGTAGCAGTCCCACCGGGCATCCTCACTTCCTAACCTAATTACTAAGAAAAGAATTCTCTCTATAAATGCCTGACTGGTTCTGTAAACAGTTGTTCATTCTGTAAAATCTGAAACTCAGCTCAAGAAACATCATGTCTGTTCTGAAGAGATGCATGGAAAAAAACTTACCCCAGACCTGAATAGATGGTGGGATAGGGGTAGTTTGGGTTATCTGGTGCTGCAAACAAACTGACCCATTCTCCTTCACTGAATTTTGTTTCAGTGCCTTTGAAGCAATCACCTTCCAGCTGGGCAGCTTAACAGTTTATTGCTGTGACTGCTCATGTCCCTCTGAAATGAATAACTGCCTAAATAAGGAGATTAGCTATCAGAAAATTAGTCTTATGTTATCTATCAAAAATAGTCAAGGTTTTACTTCCTTTGAGCTGTCTTGAATTTAAAATACTACATACACAACAGGGTCCTGATTTATTTGCTACAATATCTTCATGCCAAGCTTTTTCCTCCTTAATCACATTACTTAAAATATTTATGAAGGCTGGGTTTATTACTCCTTTATGCGAAGTGGCAGACTGATGACAGCTTTCAAATTATTTTTCACCATGAACATTTAAAATAAAAAAATAAGACTAACTGGAAGAATTGATCACATAAGTTCTCTTAAGTGGCAAGAGAATATACCATTTGCATACAGGAAAGTGAAAGAAACTTCTTACTAAATTTCTTTTTAAAATTTCTTGTAATAAAAACCAAGTAGACTAGCCAAGGTTGTAAATACTCTCATCCGTAATGATGCACTTTAATCATAATTTACTCATCAACAAACGGGGCTATCATGGCAGCTGAAGCAACAAGAGATACAATGCAGTTCAAACACTGGGACATAAATAATGTCATCAGCATTTGCTATGGCTAAGCAAATATACTGCTTTTTATTTTTCGTCCTGTATTTCATGAGGTATATCTCAGCAGACCTATCTGTCCTCAATTTTTTAAATATGTACACACTATAATTCTACTATACTGCACATGTTCTTGTTGCTGTGTATTGATCATTGTTGAGCTACTTACACAGACATTTAGATTAAGAATCACAGTAAGTTTCATATTCTAAAAGATATTCTCGGCATAAACATGTTCTGTTCAACTCACAATGAAATGGATTTATGCTGAAAATCATTCAAAAGACAGGTGTCAGAGTCAGTGTCACAACCACTGAAGAGATAATGGAAGCCATGTTCTGATTCCTCTAAAACTGCTGACATAATTCTTTAAAAACTGGTATTTAGAAACTAAAATTTATTTCCAAATGCAGAGGGAGTTCCAGAAAAACCAGCCAAGTCTTCACAAACTTCACAAACTGAAAAATCAACCGAACCAGCTAAGGCAACTCAGCAAGAGCAGCATCAGCTCAATAATGGGAAGGAAGATGCCAAGTGAGTAAAATCAATTTAAAAAAAAAATCAAGTTTTTTTTTTGATTGTACATTTCTGTATGCAGTGTATTTCAGTTCTTAGGAATTTCTCCAGTACCGTAAGGATCTGAAAAGCATTATTTCAGTTCTAAGGCAACCACACATACAAAGTATTCATTTAGTATGTGCTTTTGATAGATTCATACCTCATTCTAACTTGCAGGAAAAAGGAAAAGGATTTCTTTAATACCCATACAAAATAAGTCTAGTAATTGTGGTAATTATTATTATTATTATTCTACCTTAGCAAAGGTGTAAGCCCAAGATTCCTGCTGTGAATATCTGGAAAGTTTGTCACATCATCCTGGCTTGAATGATTTTACCCTGTACATATTTTTGTAGTGTTGTACATTTTTATTTTTTTTTTTTGTACATACTGTTATATTCTTAAATCACCACTAGAACATGCAGTTGATTAGAACACTATTTTCCTGAGAAGAGACAAAGAAATTAAACTATATTTGTTCTTCAGAGAAAAAGCCTTTCTTTTCTCCTTCAGGAGATTCTACTGGGTCATTCTACTTTTGGAAAAAGCGTAGGTAAAAGCTTCTTTTACTAAAATACGATTAAGAGAGAAAACCAAAAATGTATAATCCTATAATAATCTATTCTTACTATAGCACCATAGATTCATACAGTATCCAGGGTTGGAATCCCTCTCCAAAAGGAACCTGGAACAAATGTCTGCTAAGAATATAGAGGTTAGACCCAGCTTCCAAATTAGAACAAGTTGATGAAAGCTTTGTCCAGTCTAGTTTTGAATCTCCAAAGATGGAGATTCTATAGTTTCTCTGGACAATCTGTCTACATCATACCTTGCCTTTTTGCTGTAAACCTCCAAGAACAGTCTAGATTCATATTCTCTATAATCACTCATGGAGCAGTAGAACACTGCAATAACCTCTATCTTCTAAACTCTTCAGCTCTAGTCTGAATAAACGCAATTTTCTCAGTGTCTCCTAGTCCCCAGTCATCCCAATAACCCTAAGCTAGTGTTGTACCATGTTGTCAGTGTCTTTTTTTTTTTAAGGGAGAAGCTAATTGTCAATCAAGTTCACTATTTTATTTTGTCTATGCATTCAAATTTACCTACTAGAATATTTTTAAAGAAAATAATTGCCTTTGTTATATGAGAAAAGCTATATAAATATAAATGTATGTGCAGAATTTGAGGTGAATGGAAATGATAATGGAAATGATATTAATGGAAAAAGTTTCACCTTCATTTACTGCAGCTTTCAATTTTTTTAAATGTATCTCTGCAGGCTCAGATATGTAGATTAAGGAAGAATAAAGGCAGTAGCCATGTTTGAAGCAGCATGCTTTACAGTTAGGTCAGGCCTGTATTTCTCCATACAGTATTTCAGGGTGAAGTGAAAAACTTCCACATAATTCAAATTTTAAAATCCTTAGGCTTGGGTAATATTGCTTTACGAGCATTCATACTAATGCAACTAACTTATCTGAAGTCAATAGGACTATTTATGACAGTTTGCAGGGTTGTGCACCAGGTGTGTCCTTCTTCCAGTTCATCTACATTAGAATAGACTTTTACTCATGATGCAACACAGCCTGTGTTATCTATTAATAGGGAAGAAGTTTGCTGAGTCTCCTCTGAAAGAGCAAAATGATTTTTTCTCTTGTTAAGTAAATGATAACTTTGACAAAGGCAGCATTTATTCCTGAAAACTCCCACATAAACTCTTTGTCCACAAGAAAAAAATTTGCTTTCCCTCTGGACATATACTCATTTTTCAAATATAAAAGTACACTGCAATGGACATTAATATACAGCAGAAAGACATAGCTCTGATTCTACAGCTGTCTCAACACTATTCTGAAAGCATAGACACACAGACAGCTACCAAGGTGCTGAACTGCAACAGAGACTGAAACTTTCAGTGTCTGTTTGCTAATGGCTTAGATAGGATTCCACACAAGTCTGCCTCTCTGCCAATGCGTCGTTTCTTCCCTCCACCTCTAATGACAACATAACAGAATAATAGTCCATTTCCATGAATAGCTATTTGCTGAGCAATAATAATTTCTAGGAAGGAGGGCTAAGAGTATGCTGTCTCTTCACAGCAAGAAATGAAGGAACAGAACAACACTCAGAATCTAATTTGCACTCTAGTAGAGGACACTGATATCTTATTGACTAGGAATTAGCACAAAACTTAGTTGCAGTCTTCATATTATACCAAGATTTCTTTCTACTGGGGAGGGTTTGTAAAAACATGTGTGCATGTACATAGCCATACAATTTTTTTGAAATGAGGCACAAGCATTTCAGGCAAGATAGTCCACAGCATGTAAGCAAATGTGGCACATCCTCAGGAAACAGCAAGGACTGCTCTTGCCTTGGAAGCAGGGAGCTGCCTGAAGGTCCCTGGGCAGAGGTCAGCCCTGGTTGAACTCCTGCAGTGCTTCTCCCCACTGTTACCAAAGGTAGGGCCAGCCTTCAGTGGCATTGCTTTAGATCTGACCCTGAGCATAGCAGTCACACTTCCAGGAGGGGATAATATGCTTACTCGTATAATCATTTCTCATTTCTATACTTTTTATTTTAAAATACTTTTTTTTTCCTAACCTGAAAGATGACCTTGTTCCTTAACCACGTAGTTGAAGAAAGTTACCACCTTTGCAGATTCCAGGTTCTGCCAGTCTCAGTTCATATTGATGACTAAAGGAGGATGCAGCCCTTCCCTCGGTCCCATCTTCTCATCCTTTGTTTTACACTTGCTCAACCAGGTGGCTGCTGAATCAGCTAGATCCAGCTGGAAACATTCACTTGTCATATGGTTTCCTACAAACATGAAGACACCACAGAAAGGTACAAGAAGGATGAAATGAAGTTGGCAAAATTAGGAGAATCAGACAAGTATTTCATGAGATTGGCACCCTGAGAACAATGGGCTCTAGCAAATAGAACAGACAAGACAATCTGATGGTTTCTCTTGGTCTTAAAATGTAAAAAAATTTCAAATACTTTGAAATAGGCATCAGCAAAGTTATTGCTCTGCAGTGAAATAAACCCAGAAATACACCTCATCAATCACAAAACTGAAGGAATGTCTTAGTTATGAGTAGAATAATTATGCTGACTTCGGTTCAAGTTAAAACAGTTGCAGTTCACTCAAAAAAATCCCAAACCCTAAGGTCTCCAGACCACCTTGCTCTGCAAGAAAAGTGGTACAGTCATTTGTACACAAGAGAAGACACCATCATTTGCTTTGTGATGGTATTGTTTGGAACCCAAAATCTAATGGGCAATTTTGGGAAGAAATAATTACAAATGTGACACAGGAGAGACAAATGCAAGACTTTGATATGATCCTACACTGAAGGGTGGCAATCAGCATAGTGCTTGGCACATGTGACAGTTGGTTAAGACAGCTGTAAAGAGTTATGGCATAGAGGTGAGTAGAGGTGAGACAGATATATAAGGAAGAATTAATAGCGGATGTCTGGCCCCAAGGAGTGAGACTAAGAAACTGAAGCAGCCTAGAATACATAAAGGATGAAAGAATGGTACATGAAACAATCAACTGAAAGCATAGCAGAGAAAAATGGAGGGATAAAGAAGCCTTCAATAGCCACTTCTCTCTTCTGTGTATTTTAAAAGCCTTTAAGCCTGGATAAAGTTGTAAGAGTGTTTCATCTTTCCAGATTACCAAGATGATTACACTGTACTATTTATACTAAGGCAGTACACGGAAACCCCAGTCAAGGATGGTGAACTCTGCTCTGTAAAATGCTGTGTAAAATGACAGTTGATTCTTGCAGGCCACATATCCAAGAGTATATGATGAAAAAAATATAGTAGGTAACCAGGACTTCAGATGCTTTCACATTTCACCTGAAAATGCTCTGTCTAGAAAAGAACAAAAAATTGAATCTGATATGCTGCCTACAGAATCTAGCTACCATTAACAAAACATATTCAAATAAAATGCACTAAACAAATTTTAATACGATACAATTATTAAATAAAATATGCTTAACATTCTCACACAATGTTCTGCTTTTGCAAATTCAGAAACCTAGCCTTCAATATTTTCCAGGAGAGATCTTGTACTGCAAACTGTCATGAGAGCAAGTGCTCAGGAAAACTGAATTGCATTCACATTTTTCCTTTTGCCTTTTTCATAGCTACATACCATTACCTAGTAGGTTATGCCAGCCTTTCTAAAGCCTGTAAAGGAGATGCTTTTTCCTCTCTAATTTGGCTAATAGGAAAAAAAAAAAAAAAAAAGATAACAAAACAAACAGAGATTAAGAGGCAATTTGCTATGTGGTGCATAGCCAGGTTAATAAAGAGAACTCCTGCCAGTAGCCTGTTCTTACTGAGGAATGTACTTCATTTAGCTCAATTACCTCAACCAAGAAAATTAGAGTGCTTATTAGTGCTTGCCATCCACTAGTTGCTGCACATCAATTCACCATGCAGACATATCCTAGAGAAATGATGCTGAATCACAAGAACAGAATCTTAGCACCTTAGTGAAACAGGTCGATATCAACTCTCTGCAGTTTCCAAAAATCATAGTTTACTGTTACCATACTAGGAACCTGAAAAGATTGCAATCGTGGCTCTAAATTCTAACTGACTTGCAAGAAAGTAAAACAAGTTCAACACTAAGCAATTCTGAAAAATCCCATTTTAAATAGAGTTGCAAACATATTTTCTAAAAAGAAACACCAGCAGTACATAAAATTGCAGACAGATGTAACACACTTTGTACATTTTGTAAAATCAGAATTCTTTTCTTAAATCTCATATTTTATTCTGCTTATCTGTCACAGCTCACAACTTTTGCTGCCTGCACTGGAGTTTCTGCACTGGATAAATAGAGAACCCAAAAAAATAAATAACAATGTGTTGGTGGACCAAAATGGATTAAATTTGTTGAAAACATAGGTGAGGTGTATGTTCCTAAACCCTTTAAATTCTGTTCTGTT